GACTTTTTTTTTTATTATTATTATTCTTTTCTTTATTTCTTTAGATAGCAGTTCAATCATTTTGAAGCTATCTCTGGAGCATCTAGGAAAGTTCCTTTAACAGTGAAGCATTAGGTTGCTTAAAGTGCCTCACAGAACTAAACCTTGGAAGCACTTTTGAAATATTTCCCCTGCTACACGAGAGGGATGTCACGAAATGAAACAAAAAAGGAAAGAATATTTCATTTGAATGGAAGGATAAAGTACCTTCAACCTAAACCAGACTAGCTCAGTATCAACTGTTTGCTTGTGGCGCTCAGCAGTTTTAAAATCAGAACTGTACTGGTATTAACTGTGCCACATGGAGGAGGAATTAATCCCACAGAAATGTAGATGTGTAACTGGACATGGTAGCTATCACAGCAAAACCAGAGCCCTGGAAGTTTTGGAACTCTCAATACAGCCGTGTTAATTTTAAAACAAAAACCTTCAGCTTCCGGCGACTTCCATAGGAGCATTCCCAATGTTTTTTACACAGCTATTAATGTAGTCAAGCTGTGTTTTTTCGTCCTCCTCAGTGCAATCATCTGCTCAGTGGTGCACTCCAGGAGCAGGAGCCAGAGGAGTGGCCGGCTGTGATTGATGGGGCGCAGCCCAGCGCTGGAGGAGCCCCATCTGGATCAGCTTTTGGGAGCAGCCAGATGTTGAGAGGGAGCTCAGCGAGCCCCACGTGGGCACCCCGAGCTCCCGGCTCCTGCTCCCCAGCCAGCGCTGACGCTCGCTTTGGGCAGGTGCTGCATGGCCTGGGACCAGAGCAGCTGCTAAGTTTATGGAGAGTAGAGGCAGCACCATGGTACAGCAGGTATTTGCACTTTTATTTTCACTTGAAACTCTTGCTTTTCAGTCGAGCCAGAGCAGTTCTTGCAGGCAGCTGCACCACTGCATGCAAGACTTGCAAGCCATGCTTTGATGCTTAGGTCTGAAGGAGGGCAGGCTATGGGGAAGGAATCATGGGCTTGATGGGTGTAACCCTTAGAACCAGCAGGTTTGCAGAGAAATGTTGCATTTTTTTCTTCTTTGTTTCCGTGCCCCGAGGATACGATGCAGTTTGGCTCATTTAACTACAGTACAGGAGGCTTTCTCTAAATGTGAAATATCTCTTGCCAAAGAAACAAAATGCACCAAACGGAAAATAGAGCAAAACAAACAATAAACTGTGAGTTCGACTTCAAAATGCAGGCAAGCAGAAAGGTTTTCATTCAATACATTTTTTATGCTGCAAATGTGTTTTTATAAAAAGGAACACTGCATAAGCAATGTCTTCTGTGCTCTCTCCTTTGTGTACAAACATAACAAGCTTGCTTTATTATGTTTTGACACTTTTTATACATTTCTTAATTACGAAATCCTTTCAGAGCAGGAGATGTTGAAAAGGCATCTGAGACCTGAAACAGTAGAAGCAGTTTAAATTCTAAGCTTTTCTTCAAATGAGGTAATATGGATGAAATAGGAGAACCTTCATTTACCTACATTGTCGGAATCCTTTTTTTTTTTGTTCTTTAGAGTTCAACGTTTAACCAGAAAGCAATAAATTTGATTTTATACACTGCCACGTAAAGCATATTTTTCAGTTGAAATGTGGTTTTCATTAAGACTCGGGCCAGAACATTTAGCAGAGCCTGACTGTCTGCCATCCTTTGTTCTCCTTGCTGTTGCCAACAACCACTTTTTTAAAAAAACCACGCACAAAGTGAGCATTAAGGGGTCATTTAATTTTAAAGATACTTGGAACTGAGTCTGAAGGGACAACTTCAGTTTGGCCTCTTCTGCCTAGGTGGTATTAAGCCATGCCTGTGTACTGTCACACACAGCTTTGAAATTGCTCTAATACCTAAGTTCATAGGTTAATTTAGGATCAATATTTCCCCTTGCTTTTAGGACCATTTCATATTTTAAACTTAATGCATTAGAATTTATTATTTCTTTTATTCGTTTCAGTTCATTGTATTTTAAAGAGCACAATAAAGGAGCATTTTAGGTGATTCTATTTAAAGAATTTTTGGTTCCTGAAAATCTCTTCAAGTGTATCTGCTGTGTAGTCTGGGGTTTCCATCAGCCACATGTATATACAAATGTGTGATAGCTGACACTTCGTAGTTCTTGATAGAAATGAGTATTTTGAACAATTAGTTTTGGCTATTACAAGCCAAGTAAATAGGAAAGAACTTGTTTAAACATGCATGCTTTTCTATTATATTGTAATACCATGTCTATTGAATTAATGATGAATAATAAATTCACACTGCTTTTAAAGGTTAGGGAAGGCTTCAGTAGTCATTTATTTTAAGGGATGAACGTCTGATTTATTGTCACTATCATATTAAACTTAGGGCCTGCAGTAGCATGTGCAAGTTTAATTTCTTTAATGTCCCCTGTCTTCTAACAATTAAATGAACCTGCAGAGCCTGCACTGATAATCTTGTGTCAGTTTTCTGCTATAAGCACAGTGGGGTTGGTTTCTTCAATGGCAAGGCTGTAAATCTCTGAATATGTACAAGTTAGTAAAAAAAAAAGAGACAAATCCCTGACCCTTTGTTGCTTATTTATTAATGAGGTCTCAGTTATAAATAAGTGAGCCAGGCCTCAGCTGAACAAGTCTAATGGAAGAGGTGGAAGAGTCTCAGCATTGTGGAGGTTCTGAAGTAGCCAGCACAATTTGCCATTTTGTGATAAATCTAAGAAGTTTGGAGTTGCTGGTAAAAATAATCGAAAAGTTCAACCCTCTTAATTAAACATGAGCTGTAATTAGCACTAGGTGTGGATGCTTTGAATATTAATTAGGGTCCTCATGGAACTGCTGTCAGGGTTAATGAGAATCAGTGGGGGTCTCAGCAACATCTGGTTTAGGACTGGAGGTGGTACAAAAGCCTTTAGATGAAATGCACCTGGACATCACCCCTTGGTCCCTTTGCTGCTCGTTTTTAGCAGCTCCTGACTCCAAGGCCACGTTTAGCATCTGACAGGAAGGGATAGCTTAAGGACCAGCACTAACCAGCTCCCGTGTTTCCAGACCAGCACAGTGAAAATGCTTATAGAGGCAGAATCTGGATTTGCTTTTGTTCATTCTTACCCTTTTCTCAGGTCCCTCCTGAAATAGCTGATTAAAAAATTTAAGGTCGGCTGCCTCCCACAGAAGTTTTAAAAGTACTTCTTTAACGTTTATTGAACGTCTCTGGTGTAATCTGGTCATTCCTGGGTTTTGCTTCATCTGGATTTTATTTGTTTATTTTTAATAGTGAAATATTAGGTAAAATAAATAAGAAAGGAACTTGACCATTTTAGTGTTAGAGGATAAAAGTACACATTTACAAGAGTTTTTAACCTCCATAGAAATTTAAGAGTTTTTAACCTCCATAGAAATTTAACAGGGCCAGTTTCAGTGCAGCATTGACCTTGCTAAGATGGCAGATATTTAAACAAATCCCAGTGACTTAACCCTGTGAAGTCAGTAAATGACACTGATTTCCTGCCAGAGATGGTTGAATGAAGCAATGGAAACCACTTGCTCAGGGCCATACACTAAACCAGCAGCAAAGATGGGATTAAAGTCAGAGATGCTTTGATTGCTAATATAAAGTTCTAATTTTTTAGGACACGCTGAGTGCCTTTTACAAAGGAAAATTCAGTTTTCTTTTTTAAGCCTGTCAAGGCTACCAAGACTTAACTCCTGTGCGAGTTCTTAAAAGCTCCTGAGTTAGGACAAGTTCAGGTCAGAAAACTGATGTCTAAATTAGTTGAAATTGGCTGGAAATGCCCTTAATTACAAAGTGCAGAAGAATGTCTTTTATTTGTCCAGTCTATTTGAAATTAGGAAATCGAGGACTGATAAGTACAAATAAAATCCCTGCCATAGTCTTGGGCAGGTGCTTGTACATGCCTTGGTGGGAGAATAATTGATTAGCTCAGAAGGCAATTAAATTTTAACTTAACTGTGAATTTTTACATATATAGTGGGGTAGTTTAATTTTGTAAATTAGTTTATCTGAGGTTGGGACAGTCCCTGCACTAATGGCCTCTAGTGCTGTCACAGGAAAAATCTGTTTTGGCCTTTTTTTTTTTCCTATGTTCAGAAAGACTGTAGTGCACATTTTCTCCTCAGAATTATTGCTTTTTGGTGTGAGCAAAGCATTTAGTCAGAAGTTTTATAATTGATAAATTAAGAGGCTTGGCTGTTCTTTATCAAATGGAACTATCTCTCTATAGGATCTCTCTATAAAGACATGAGGATAGTGTTATTTATGCTATAGGCTAATTGCCATATGGAAATGAAATACTGTTGTCCTCAAATGCAAAACCTTTAAAGTTCTTAAATCTATTTCACTTAACATAAAATTTTTCTTTTATGTTATTTAAGGTTTTGAACTGATACACTTTTAGATTCAAATATTTAATATTTTGACTGGGTCTCATTATTATTTTGCATTTGTGGCACGCACTTGCTCAATGCGGAGTACCTCCAAGTACTCTGACTATCTCAGGGCATTATTTCACATCAGTATTTTTAGTGTTGTTAACAGTATGCACCTAAATCCTGCCCTGTGTGTATGTTGCCTGTATTGTATTCTGTAAATGGTCAGTCAGAGTAATCACAGACCCGAGCTCTGTGCTGGCACTTGCGCTCAGGAACTGGCTTTGTCCCTCGTCCTTGTCTGAGCTGAGGCATCATTAGTGCAGGCAGGTTTCACTGACCTTTCCCTCTTATAGACTAGTCTACAATTATCCAGCGAGCAGTACATTTGTTTGTCTAATTATAATAGTATTTAATAGGGTTAGCAAAATGCATTTAGTGCAGATCAGAAATATTCTCCTCAAGAAACAACCACTGTGCCCTTTCCAGGCCAGGATGCTCTCATCGCTCTCTGCGTTACGGGTGCAGGACCTTTGCTTATTTTATCTCACGCCACATTTCTTCCTTTTTTTTATTATTATTATTATTATTTTTTTCCCTTTGATTTTCACAGGGTAATCAGGAAGCTACAGCACCTCCTGACACAATGGCACAGCCTTATGCCTCAGCCCAGTTCGCTCCACCTCAGAACGGTATCCCTGCAGAATACACAGCCCCACATCCGCATCCAGCTCCAGACTACACAGGCCAAACCACTGTTCCAGAGCACACGTTAAACATGTACCCTCCTGCTCAGACACACTCCGAACAGAGTGCAGCTGACACAAATGCACAAACTGTCTCCGGCACAGCCACAGTAAGTCAAGGTTACTGCTCTTTCTACAGCTCTGTGTTTCGCGTCTATTTATCGATAACAATTTTGCCGTGACACGCATTTGCGTTAGGCTTAGTCACCGCGTTAAGGTCAAAAGTCTGTCAGAGTTTGCTGTTGAACCTGGAGGGTGGGTTTGCACTGGCTTTGGAGCTTCTTAGTAAGTGTTGGAGGTTTGTAGAACCTGGAGTTTCATTTTCAACAGCGCTAGACAAAATGATTAATTACCAGCCCATGAATCACAGCACAAATTTTAATTAAGTCCAATATGGAAAAACATTGCAAATGAGTGTTTGTAGGCATTCATTTGCAGGGCCAATGAAAACAACCAAAAAACCCAAACCAGGCTCGTTTGGTTATTTTTAATGACCTTCATGTTTTCAACACAAGTAGTTTTAATAGAAATATTACTTGAATGATCCTGTACAAAATCTGCTGTGTGAATTAGTATTGTGAAGAGCATGTCTGCAATATTGTATTTTCTGGAGAGCTTGTTTGTGGAGCCATTACCCAAGTTGTGTGTGGATCTGTGCTAAACAGAGCAGAAATGATGGACTTTCCGTCTATTTGATTTATATGTGAAGTTCTGAAGTGTCATGAATTATGCAAGAGACTCCTTGGATGGCTCTACCTTGTAATTTAAGTCACAAATTTCACACACTGATAGTTTAGTGTTTCTGTCTTAATTCTAGAGTGGGACCCAATATATCCAGTGCCAAGAGCTGGCAGATTTCTGAGCCATCAACCATCCCCCTGTGTTACATGTGCAGGATGTGGCACAGAACAGGCAGTGCTCAGAACATCTCTCCTGGCTGGCCTCATCCTTGCCTCAGCCATTCTCCATGCCTCAGCTTACCTCCCCTTCCTTCCTGGCTCATATCCAGCCTAAAAGGTTTCATGCATTAGGGCAAGAAGAAAAGGAAATCACATTCTCTTAAATGAGCTCTGCAAATTTGTTTGTTGTTGTGCCACTAATTTCTTTATATGGCTTGAGCAAGAAAGGAATGCAATAGCAAAGGCACTGAGGAATATTCCTTGCTATTATGACAGAGAAATCCCTGTGAATTAATTACACATTTTTGTGGTTTATGCAGTAAAATGCTTTGGTCTTTTTTTTTTTTTTTTTTTTTTTTTTTTTTTTGTCCTGGTTTTTTTT